GCTGACAACTTCGCGTAACATTTTTGGGTGGAATGATAACGAGAGACGAAAAACCTGTTACGTGTAACGATGTTTCGGAACTGGGAAAGAGATCCGTGAGGAAAAAAGAGGAAAAACGAAACCTAAAGGCTCTTCAGTCGCAAATAAAACCAATTTGTAGGAAAACGAGATTACTTCGAGTGCCATGTCTTCCTGTCACATACCACTTCAAACGAATATCAAATAGAACCCACGCCTATGTCCCATAATTTTTTTTTTTAATACAATATTTCTTCGTAGTTTTTAAAATAATAATTGTTATTCGTCGATAACGGACTTTATACTTGTAAATTTTAAAGGGGAAAAATGGCAATTAATAATTCTCTAATCTATTTTCCAATAAGCTTGCGAAATACACACACACTATTAATTTTGCAGAAGAATTATTTTATTTAATATTAATATTTAAATTTATTTTAATCTTTACAGTAAAAGTTACATGCATATAATTAATAAGACCATATAGCACAGTATCCATAGCATCCATAGTATCTAAAAAATATAATTATGAAGGTAGTCTAAATAAAAAATTCTAGTTTAATATTAAATTTATTCATATGGCAATAAAATAAAATTACTTTCGCCAAACTGTCGAAAAATTGAATTAATTCCATGTCTTCTTCGTGATTAATTTTCCATCACGATTTAAAACACGTCTATAATCAAGGATAGTATGGATAACGTTAATTACAAGTAATTGCTTCCGACCTCACCAAAAGTTCAATCAAACCTGCAATTAACCTAATCGTGCTTAAAATCCCTCACGCTCCTTACCCCTTCAAAAATTCCTGCTCAACCATAATCCATAGAGAACTGCTCGAGTTCGGCAAACCCTCAAAAGGACACTTCATCCCGTCATCCCTTCGGCTGCAATTTTCTCACCGGCACGTAACCGGCAGACAACTTCGGGTCTGACTGCGGCATTACAGCGAATTACAGTCGTAGAAAAATTAAGCCCGGGTAATTAACCTCGCAATGGGTTCGAGAAAATTGGATATATCCCATTCCATTTCCGATATGACGTTCATGGAGCAGCGGAAAAATTCACGTACTAGTAGGGAAACGTCGCAAAGGCGGCGGTCGTCGCGGTAACCGTTCGTTTTATCGAAAACGAGCTCCCAATATCCGTGGAAACTCGCGTAGCTGCACGTAATTGCGAGCGACGACGTGCCCCGTTCGATCATGGCCGCGTTCCGGACCACGGAAAAAGGATCCAAGAGCGAGAGGGCGCTCGCGAGGGCGCCCGGTGCCCGCGCGAGAAATAACCTCAAATATCCGTAATCTTTTGGTCGTTTCTTCTCTGTCCGGTCCCGTGTTCCTCTTTCACCGAGCACATTCCCTATAAACTTGCTGGCAGAGCGATCGAATCGCTTCGACGACCAACTTTTTTACCACCGCGAGAGCCTTTCAACTCGACGACCACTCGATCCGCCAAGAGACAAACATTTCCAATCAACCGGCGAGAGTACGGAAAGCCGCATAGTTTTTTCTAGAAAGTGCAGCTAGCACGTTTCACAGACCGTTCGATTTCGATACGAGTCGATAAATTGTATTTGCGAGCTGGTTTTCAGATAGAAGAACGAGATCGAGGTGTGCAAGGAATTTTGTTTGAAGAGATACTGCAGGGGTGGGAACGCGGTGAACCTGTTTGCGGGCTGTTTGTTCGAGAATTTCGTTGTTTCAACCTGGTATTTGATATATGAGTTTTGTTCTTGCACGGGGAAACGAGCTGCGAATGTAACTGGCGAGTTTATCTCGGGATTCTTTCATACCTTGGACAATGTATTCAGGTTTCCATTGATGCTGAGGAACGCAAACTGTTCGGAAAATTGCAGTGATTTGACCACGGGATACTTGGTTCCCTATTCTGTTCCTTATGTTTCGATCAAATTGTATGTGCCATAGATAAACTCATATATTTTTTTAGAAATAAAATATCTGACTTACGAATTATAGATCTGCAGTTGTAAATGGAATTTATTGCGCGAATAGGAACCCGAAGAATGTATATTTTATCAGGATCTCGAAATCTTAGATTAGAAAGAAGAAAGAAAGTAGCAGGAGTCCAGTTTGGCCATGTGATGCTTGGTTCTCTATTTTGTTCCTCGTGCTTCGAAATTTTACGTATATAAACTCGTATACTTTTTTGCAAATGAAATATTTGACTACGAATTATAAATCTGCAGTTGTAAATAGAATTTATTGCGCGAATAGGAACCCGAAGAATGTGTATTTTCTCAGGACCTCGAAACCTTAGATCATAAAGGGGAGACAAAATGACAGTAGTCTGGTTTGACCATGGGATACTTGGTTCTCTGTCCTGTTTCTCATGTTTGGATCAAATTGTATGTACAATACATAAATTCATATATTTTTATAAATAAAATATTTGACTAGGTATTATAGATCTTCAATTGTAGATTTTAATGCATCTATGGAACCCGGAAAATGTGTATTTTATCGGGATCTCGAAATTTTAGATCCAAAAGAAGAGACAAAATGGCAGTAGCCTGATTTAACCACGGGATACTTGGTTCCCTATTCTGTTCCTCGAATTTCGATCCCATTTTATTATACACGAGCTGATATATTCTTTTATAAATAAAATATTTGACTACGAATTATAAATTTCCAATTGTATTGTAGAATTTAATGCACTAATGGAACCCAAGAAATGTGTATTTTATCAGGATCTCGAAATCTTAGACCATAAAGGGGAGACAAAATGGCAGTAGCCTGATTTATCCACGGGATACTTGGTTCCCTATTCTGTTCCTCGAGTTTCGATCAAATTTTATTATACACGAGCTGATATATTCTTTTATAAATAAAATATTTGACTACGAATTATAAATTTCCAATTGTATTGTAGAATTTAATGCACTAATGGAACCCAAGAAATGTGTATTTTATCAGGATCTCGAAATCTTAGACCATAAAGGGGAGACAAAATGGCAGTAGCCTGATTTAACCACGGGATACTTGGTTCCCTATTCCGTTCCTCGAGTTTCGCTCAAATTTTATATACAATACGTAAACTCATATATTTCTTTACAAATAAAATATTCGGCTATGAATTATACATCTTTAATCCTAGAATTGAATCGAAAAAAGTGTATTTTGTCAAAATCCCGAAACCTTATACCCGAAACTTAAAGAAGAGGGGTTGTTTTTCCCAATTCCCATAAATCATCGATACAATACGCCATTCATGTTGCACAGCGAATGGAATTATTTGCAAAACGAAAATATCGCCCTCCCAACTCCATTTACTTCTCTATAAAGCATTTTACCCTAAAGCGACCCCACGCGACCCCCGAATCGCTGCAACAACAGAAACACCTCCGACACCGATAATCGAACTTCCGAGCGGAGAAAAAAATCCTGCTGAGACACCATAACTGGGGTTGAAATTTTTCATCGATCGACATTTATCGAGTTACAAAAGGAACAATTATCACGGGTGACGGCAAGGCGAAGGCCTAGAAATTCGATTTCCTCGCGACGCCAGATGTTTCGCGGCACGTTCCTTTCCTTTCCTTCCTTTCCCTCGATCGCATTTGCAGCCAATGGGAAACAATAACGACCGGAGGAGAATCGTGCAATTTCGTGCAACCCAACCACCCGCCCCTTCCGCGAAATCGTCATCGGGAGCCGCGGAGTTATGGCTCCTTCGTCCGACGAGCAATCGAACGAACCGTATCGTAGAGATGAATTTGCTGTTTAAAACGGCCGAGACACCGGCTGCAGATCGTTAATGGGTTCGATGGTTATTGAAACGGGAAATGAATGAGACACCATGCCGGAAACGCTGCGCGGAATGGCTAGTTTTCGCGACTATTATCGCAGGTATAGTCAGGAGAGCATAGCCTTTAGCTCCAGTACGTGTATTCTTCCTGGAATTATAGGGAAGAGGAAAATGCGAGCTGCTGGATAACCCCCTCGTGTAGAAACCTTTATAATGGTGTACAGCTTGAGTTTGTTTAGTAATTAATTACTATGGAAATTGCGAAAATTATTTAAATTTCAATAGAAATTGTACGGTATCGTAAATATTAACACTAGAACTACCGATCTTTAACACCAGATTTACGGAACCCGTGAATTTGACGAAAGGGTTGCTTCAATTATACGATGGTAACAGATTCAGTTAACTTATATTAAGACTGATAATATAATATATAATTGTTTATAAATTAAACTAATCGTTCAAAAAAGAGGCACGTGGTTCCTTTACCTGTCAATTTGACAGGTGTTCTTAGAAATAGGTATTAAACCCAGTGTTAATGAGCTCCTAACTATAACGTGCACAGATTATAGTAATTTCAGCAGTACAATGAATATGAGAGAATATATTGATTTCAGTTCGTTCTTACTACGAGTTGATACCAATTTTATTCTTAAAGCAGGTGTAAGTGTTCGGTGATTGCAAAAAGGAAAATTCTGGGACCAGTCATTTTCACTGGGTTGGTAGTTCTAGTGTTAATCTGGGTACTATTTAGAATAAACACTGAGAATAAAAAATTATCTAAATGGAAGAAAATGGATTAATATTTACCAGGTACCTAATGCATTACTCTTGATAGTAAAAGATTTTGGCCACTGCAAACAATCCTAATCCTAATCCTAATCCGTACACCATAAACGACTGCCAATCTTTCGATTTCCAGAGGGAATTATTTGGTTGAAAGGAAGATATAATCTTTCTCAAAATGTAAATGTAACACGGTAAAATTAAGCTATCATTATCGAGATGCTTTCTTCAGACAAACACGTCGCTGAAAGATAAATGGGATCTAAAATACCGGGTGGCTGATATTCTCTAAACACCGGACAAATCGTGTCGACCCCCGCGTGACAAGTAGCACTCTGAAACTCTCTGCTAATTAATCACCGATTACAATGCTAATGGACGTGCCTGCTCGATTACACCTCGATACGATCTGTTTCATTCGACTCACCGATTATTCGCCGACTGCAAAGATCGCCGATCCCCGCTGCCTTCGCGTGGACTCGCTCGACCCTCTGTGGAAAAGGGAAAACAAAATTAAGTATTTCGTTTCGATAATTTATGGATAAAGTTCGAGGACTTCCGTGTTCCTCCCGAATCTAGATCGAACTCTCGCGTCGACTAATTATCCAACGACACGGAGCTGGAAAAACAGGCACGCTTCGAGATTTTTACTCGAGAAACTTCCAGCGACATAATTATAGTAGATGTCATTACAAGCTTCGAAATCATGGGAATTTTATGCCATATTCCCGATTTCCTACTCCGTCAGAAGGGATTGCGTGATATTTTTACGTAAAAATACAACATTTTCTGTAAGGGGTGCCATTTTGGTACCATTTTCAGTGCCATTTTCGGTGCCACATACGTAAAAATACAACATTTTCTGTAAGGGGTGCCATTTTGGTACCATTTTCAGTGCCATTTTCGATGCCATTTTCAGTGCCATTTTCGGTGCCACGTTCGGTGCCATTTTTGGTACTATTTTCGGTACCATTTTCGGTACCTTTTTGGTACCTTTCTCGGTGCCATTTTCGGTACTATTTTCGGTACCCTTTTGAGTACCTTTCTCGGTGCCATTTTCAATACTATTTTCGGTACCATTTTCATCGCGTAACGATTGCTCCGTAACGGTGTAATCGGTGTTAAACACAGGACTCGCGATTCGTACTAGGCCTCTAAGATCTAGAAATATGGCTCTCGTATCTAAGATTGACTTTTACAAAGCGACAAAGTGGGAATTAAGGAAAGAAATATGGACGCGTGACCGTGGTACGTGTTACGAGGAAAACTTGCGGACTCGATAAACGAACTCTGAACCAACTTTCAGATGGAAGCGAAAACGTGAGACACGCTTTACCGAGTTACTGAAAGGTATGAAACGTAATTGGGAAACCAAGCGTGCCCGCTATAGGTACGCGCTGACTTACAGTAGGTACCTTTCTTTTTTTTTTTCAAATTTAATTTCGCGTTAACTCTTGATCTTGTTATTCGACGGACCCACCGCGGTAATAGACACGACGTTGAAATTAATAAATTGAGAGCAAAGGAATGGTAATTTCGTGCTCGACGAGGGCGACTTTAAAAAGTCGTTGGAAAAAGTAGATTACAAAACTCGTTTAATACCTGCCACTGACCCAGATAACACTATACGACGTATTACAGAGGCACTCGTACAGAAGTACGTGCTTAGAGTGCTAATATCAAACATAACATCCGGTATAAAAGTTCTCTATCCGTTCCCAACGACTTTTCATCAAAAACTGGGGAAAAGCGTCGTCGAATGATTTTTCTCAAACTTTCAGGATCGACCTGGGTCACTGTAGCTTTTAGAAACTCTCGGATAAGTTAATACGCGGAGTTAATAGCTAGTAATCAACTGAGATATGGAATCTCTCAAATGTACGAGTCATGAATGACAGTTTTCTGCATCCCAGTGTCGCCAACATCCAATATGGTACGATACATGCGCTAAAAGACACTCCTCAGACATCGTAATATATGACTGACCTAATGGATAGGTTGACAGAAGTAAAATCATTAACGAAGTAAGAGTATTCCACTCGGTACGTTCCAAATAAAGGTCTAAGAAGTATCATCAGAGGTAGCAACCATCTCCTGTCAATTAACTCTATACAGTAAATCTGTTGAGTGTCTGGAAAGTTCGCCCCGATTTTTGGTAGGTGACGTGTATATATCACAACGATCGAAAATAAATGACATATGTACATATCGTGACAGATGGTACTTCAGGCATATTTGAAAAATAATTTCGATACGATACGTTCATTCTTGTCAATTTTATATGCCTTTAAATATGGAAGGAAACTAAGTGCATTTTAGGCATTTAACCTTTTCGTGACAGGAACATGGACCATACTTTGCCACCATTTTCTGCGTTGCCTGATGCCTGTACTAGCTTTATTTCGAGTTCGCTATTGAAATAAAACAATAATATTGTTACGAGTTCCTCATATCCAGCCTGTACTAGGTCTAGTAACAAGAGCGAATTGTAACTTCAGGAAAAGAGTAATCCAGCACCTTCCAAAATGCTCCTGCAAGGAACAATCGAGAATGTTTACTATGAAAGGTCTTCCACCGAAGTTGAGCTAGTTGAGTTGTCAGCGTTCAATGGAGTTAACCTAATTCTACGTCATGAACATTTGGAAACTTTCAGCAATCCAGTGATCCTTAGAACTCATAGAAGAGGAGTTCTAAGTGCGAACTGTAACAATATAATTATGCTTTCTTTTTCTCTGTAAACCAATAAATGACGCGATATCCCAAAACAGTATTATGATTCGTATCACGGTAAAATGCGGAAGAGGAAGAAATGAAAATAAAAATGGCGAACAGGGAAAGAAGAAAATCCCGTGAGTACTGCTCACGAACGGACCAAGCTCGCCATTTTCCAAGTTGACAAAACGCACGGCGCTAGTTACCACCCTGGTTTGTAACTAGACAATCCCGTTTCGCTGGATCGCGTTCTCCGGAAGCACGTGAAGCCGCCGGCCAGCGGCCTCTAAACGACGCGATCCCCAGCCTAATTAATATTCATAGGCATAATTCGATCCGTGGCGCGAAACGGGAACCCCCGTATCGCCGGATTATAACCGGTATATAGCCTCCTAGCGAAGTGAATTATCGTTAGCCATCTTGCAGCAATTAATTGTTTTCGTCCGCTTGCGGGAAGCGGAAGTTCCGCGTGCCTGTTCCCTGATGAACAACTTCATCTGCCGCGTCCCTGTCGTTGAAAACTTCCCCAGTGATTGGTACATCTTCCATTCCGTTTCCTCGAATCGAGATTGAGAACGGGGCCAAAGACTCCCAACCTTTGAAGGCTTTCGTGGGTCCTGTTTGTCAGATACGGAAGATCGACGAGCGATTTGAAATTTCAAAGTTTTCGCAAGATTTTTGAACGATTTTTAAATCCAAACAGGGGGTTAATTAAGATCCAGGGGGATGAAGACTCGGTCTCCCAGAACTTCATCTCTCAGGAGCGAATTAAGTTTGGGGTTAATGAGATCTTAAATGGGATCTTTTACTTGGGCTGATTAGGAATCGTGGTGGTACATAAAGCAAATGATGTAATACCTAACTATGATGTATATACAGAATATATATTAACCCTTTGCACTGGAGAGGTGACTCTCAGTCACGGTTTGTTTTAATGCTATAATTTAAATAATGGATGATGATAATTATATTAAGAACATCGAAATAAAATTACTCTATTCGTTCGTTTCTCACACAAATTCACGATCTTCTTTTATTAATTTTAGCATGAAGAGTATCAGTGAGCTTATGAAAATCTAAGAAGAGCTTCGAATTGTATCTTCGCAACGAAGAAATCTTCGAGTCCAGAGAGTTAATATTGTGAGAAAACTGCAGAAGGCTTTGGACAATTTTTCGCACTTTATTAATTAAGAAATAATGACATCGCTTATCTGACCGTCGTTATTTGCATGATGTTTTTCCACAGCTACTCATCGGCCCTCACCATAATCGCGGACGATGGGACACGACCCTTGACGACGTTCAGCCTAACTTGTCTTACAACATATAACTGCAAACCTAACTTGTACTGTACAATAATTAAGTATTTAATTATTAGCCCTAACCTAATACCGAAATAAATTAAAATACACAAAATGTCAAAGAAACCAAACGTTTCAAGGTACTGGGAGGCAGACTCGCAGTATTCCAGGATAATGTGTCAATCCTTAAAGTTCCCCGTTTCAGAATTTAAAGGAATCCGCGATATTACCATAGACTGTCCCAACAAACGCGAGACCATTCTCAACCCTAACGCAGTAAACAGAACACCACCCGAACAACTGCCATAAATATGGAAACCTCCCTACTGTAACGAGCCCAGCTCGACTATAATCCCAGCTGTAATTCCGTCATCGCGGTTATCGTTAGACGTTCATTCGCTACACTTAAGTCCAGGCCGAGGATCAGGGCAATCACCCATCTCGCGTCATCGCACGGTAATAATGTCTAGGTGGATCGCCAGCGGCGATCTAATAAATCGGCAATCCACTTTGGCCAGCGTGAAGCGAACGCCGTTCCATCTACGTGCTCAGGGCTCATCCAAACGCGTGTCCACACAGAAACGATCATAAAGACAATTTAAACTGTCTTTCCGGTAAATAAGTTTTACACGAGCCGCTATGTCCCGGCCTTTCCAAGCAGCCAGAGTTCGCGGAAGTTCGAACCGGAGAAACGGTTCGTCACAGTCTCGGAGACCTTCCTAATTTCTATTTCCGTTTCTCACGGTGACATCGGGATTTGTCATACCGAGGAACAATCGCGAGACGGCCCTCCAAGTGCCATAAAATTCCTCGTGTCCTGCTCGCCATTCACTGCCGGAGACGCCCTTGTCTCCAGAGGTAACGATCGACCCTACGACTTCCGGTTACAGTTGACGTTACGTGTTCCCGGAGTTTAATTATCATTGTTGCTCGACTAATTCCACGTTACCGAGAAGATTTCCTCGGTGGCCAGTTGTTTCGAAGTTGGACCAAAGGATCGAATGTCGCGTCGGATAATTTTCTTCGGGGGAAATTGCTTCTTGATCGAGAGGAGTTAGGATATAGAATAGGTGTCAGTGTCCCCTGAGCAGGGTAGACACCAACGAGAGGCTTCGTATTTTTTCCTTACTATGAAATTCACACGGATAATTCTGCGAAAATCGATCCCCAAAACTAACCAGAACCTGGATCCATAAAGTAACAAGGACCTTCGCGCGTTCTGCCATTCGAACGTGACACGCGCTCATCCTCCATTGTCGAGATTAAACCATCCAGAAAGGTAGTTCCAAAGGCGTCTAAACAGGCTGCGATCCAGCAGCCTCGTAGTCATCAATCTCCAATCGATTGGCATTTTGTTAACTCCTAATAATGCCAGAACACCCTAGCAGTCCCATTGTACTCGGGTACGTGTTCGGGATACACGCTGGAAATTCGGATGAACCCGTCACGCACGAGCAAATGGCAAATGGCGGAAGGGA